TATACCTTCTTTAATTTAACCATTGTTCACACAATCCCTACATTTTATGATTACCTTTGATGCATCTTTTTGTGTTGAATTCAGGGAAGATAATCTGAACTAGCATTGACACAGTTAACAAGTGTCTGCTCTGGTTGCACTGATTTTTAGGGTGGCATTGAAGTGAACTGTGACAGCTTTGTTTTCCCCTTAACTTTGAAAGAGGGGATTACGTCAACTTCTGTGAACTTAACAGCTAAATGGGATGACTTCAGATCTGCACTTTACAGTCGCAGGATCAATTTCATAACTTATTTGTCTGCGGCATCATTAAAGTATTGTACGCTTGGCTTCAGCCAAAAAGAGCTCTTCTCAGAGTTGCTGAACATGCGTGTGTGTGAAAGCAACAAACAAACTGTTACTATCCTAATGCTTAACCTTGCTGCCTCCCTCTGTCTCCCTTCTGTGGAGCTGATCTTAAACATGCCTTTGCTGTATGAGTCTCTCTCTCTAGAGGCCGACACTGGTTGTGTGTGTAAAAAAAGAAAGCCCAAATGATCTTTTTAGATATTATCTTGTCTTCTGAGACAGATATACGACTTCCAGCAGGAAATAAAATCTGTGATGCTGCCTATTTTTTGAACATGTCAGCTCTGAGCAGGCATAAGATGTGAACAAGTGCTGTACAGGATATTATGTAGTTTACTGCCTGTTTTAAGAAATATGAACTGCTAATGGACAAGCTAACTTATGCCTATATAAACGGAATACATTTTATCCAAGTCTCCAAAAGAGAGGGTATTTAAGTCATGTAAAAAGTCATATTAATCTATAAGTTTATGAAAACGCTCTTTGATTTTTTTCATATATCAGAGTAGCTTTGGCAGCATGGTAGGTCGGGTTACATAAGAGAGGCCTGCTGGTTCTGATTTTCTGTATTGCAGGTGTGTAAAGCCTGTGTTGCTTTGTGGAAATGTGAGGAGATGTTCTCATGAGCTGCTCTTCCATGTTGTTTTCGTGCTACTGAATGTGCAACGACCCTGCCTCTGCCTCCCTCGCTCCCCAACATACACAACAAACACCCACACACCCACACACCCACACACACACACACACACACACACACACACAGGGGGAGGGGTGGCGGATTTCCTTGAATTCTGCCTTTTCTTTCTTTCTTTCTTTTTAAATAAAGGAAGATCAGGATTCTGCTTCTTTTATTTTTATTTGTTGATTTTATCCATAACCAAATGTTTAGCTGTGTAAAAAAAAATGAAATAGGAAAACAAGTGTAAATAAACTGAAGTTATGTTTGATGGCAGTTTTTATGAATTGCTAATTCACTTCACCTTATAATTTTGTTTGCACTACTCTTCCAAGAAAAAAAGATTCTAAAATGAGCAAACTAGGCGATGTCTGTTGGATATCCGGTTTGTTGTGTTGTTATTTTTTAATGACTTTTGGAAATACCAGTAATCTTATCACCTTTTGTCTTGTACTCAGATGGATTCAATTACTTCTACTCATGGTGAAACATGTTCTCTTGTGTGAGTCAAATCGCCATTTTACTTGGATAGAACTGAAAAACACAACAGCGTTATCGCATTGTTGAAATGCTTGCGAGTTTTGGCGCAGTTCATTTGGAGGGTAACACAGCGCTGCTAACAGGGACGCTCTCTCTTCTTCCTCCTCCTCATGCAGGTGGTGTTGGTGGGAGGGGGGGGTGAGATGATAAGGTGATAAAAAAAAAAGGACATATCCCAACAAAGAAGTGTTGCGGTAAAATGTGTGCTGTACATTTACTTGATATTTATTACAATTATTTATGGTTGCATTAACTTAACTTTTACTGTCTTACCTCTGCACATCAGAAACTTAACATATCTAAAATGGATTATACAGATGTAAAGAATCAGATGGCATTTGAGATTTCTGTGTCACAATAAAGAAATGTCTTCATGTACAAATACAGATGGTGTGTTTCTTTTATACTGCTGGGATTAATGTGTTTCTTAAGTGGTCATTAAATCAGTCTGTCAGACTGTATTTGTATTGAATTTTCATACCGGTTAATGCAACACAAAGTTCTGAAAATGAAGCAATTGATTGATAAGAGAACTTGGTGATCAGCAGCATTAAATGAAGATCAAGAACAGGAAATTACAAATATCGTCATTGATGCCATAAATTTACAACACCAAGGTGAGCTGGGAAGGAAATTAGAATTAGTTTGGAGTTCACTCACATATTCACAAAGACTTGTATCTGAATATTGTACAATAAAATAATAAAAAATAAATACATTTCACAAAGATCAACTTCAAGCTAAGGTGAGAAGCTTCATTTTGTATCGATGCCCCTGTAGACAAAGCTTGATTTCTAGTCTCTTTGTTGAATGTCCTGTACATGTCTAAGTGATGTCTCTGATGAAAAATCTCATCACGTTGTCGTTTAACAGTCAAACATTTCACTCATCAAGTATCTTTACAGTGTTAAAAAAGGTCTGTTTCTGCAGCGTGCTATTAATCATTTTGTCACAAATACCCTGCAGCAGCAGTTACATGCATTAAAAAAAAACTGAATGGAAATGATCAACTTTTATACTAATGCTCTTGTTTCATTTGTAGGTCATATACAGGCATCAGTATTCATCTCAGTCTCTTTTATAACCTGCTAAAAATTCCCCACAGGAGCTTAAGTTACACAAATTGATTGAAAGAGAAATAAATCAAACAATATTTAAAGACAGAGATCAAAGTTCAAATACAAAAATAAACCAATAAAGTCAATAATAAAACTTAACTTAAAGCAATGCTAACATTTTAAATGCAGGGTAAATGTAATAAATGTATAGAAAAACCTCTGTTAAATGTCAGTCTGAAAATTAAAATACTATCTCAAAATAACCCCAAACAGCCTTTTACACACTTGAACACTGTTGACATGGTGTGGTGGATATGCCTGTTAAAACGCCAGCACAGACAATAAGTACAGATCCTGATGAATGATACCCATGAAGCATGTTCTGTCTCCTTCAGAACATGCTTGTTACATAAGGCCCATGCCACCAGCTCCTGTTATGTCACCACTGCTGGGTAAACCGGACACCTCTCCAGAGCAGCCAGTTCAGGACCAGGCCAGTTCCAGCTGGATCTGCAGTCATACTCCTCATTGACTCACAAGGCCTTTCAGCTCCATTGTGTGTTATTCAAAGAGAACAATCTGCAACTTTAGATGTTGTAAAAAGCACCAACCAGAAAAATGTGAAGGAATTGGGCAGATATTTCTGTGTCACACAAAAACCTTGGTTTATAGGTGTGTTGTGTAATGTGCTTATCTCTCCCAGATGAGCCACACTGTGGAGTACTAGTGGTATGTTCTCGCTGAAAATAATTCACAAAAAAACATCAGACCAGACCAACATCTTCAGCTTTTTTATTATTTTTTTCAATGAAAACTTCACATCATTTTCAATCCCAAGTAAACATATTTTCTCTCTGAGGAGGAATCCCTGGAATGTCCCCAGCATGCGGACTGGCTGGTTACAAAGCGAACCAATCAAATGCCTCCCCCTCAGACAGTTGTCTCCCCTCTTTCTGTCATAAGCCTCGTTTTAAAGACCCACCACTCGACCAATGAGCACCTTGGAAAAGTGCCACATCCCTTGCAATCTAGCCAATTAAGTGCTGGCATTTTGAGTTTATTGAAAAGACCTTTGCTGTGGTCGTGTGACATTTGGCTCACCCATTAACGACTTCTTTAGCAACCTTCAATAAAAAGAAGGCTACAGGGAAATTGACCTGACTGAAGTAGAAAGTTGTTGGTCAAATATGAAACTCTATTAAATCATTCATGAGGGATCACTGCTGCTGGAGGAGGAAATTCTGAATGCATCATGCATAAAGTACTCCCATCATTAAAACGTAAGCTCCTGAGGGAGGGGCAACTATTGATTTGTTGTACAAGAAATAATGTGATGTTATGGAAGATTTTAATTAACCTGTTGCCCAAAAATGAACCTAACATCCGCATTGTGTATGTCCTTTTATCAAGAGTTAAATGAAAAGTTTTCCAGAGGAAATGTTTGTATACATTATATAGACATACTACAGAGAGCCTAAAGTCCCAGACCTGTGTGCGCACAGGTTAATATCTTGTACACACAAGATAATTATTATCATACATACAATATTTTAACTTCTGTGCACAACATAACTTGCACAAACAATATAATTATCTCGTTCCCAAAGGTTATTATGTGAGCACAAGTTAATATCTTGTGCGTCCAAGATAATTTTTTTCCCTTTTGAGGACTTCAGGAGCTCCGTTACATCCAGAATACTCATTCTGACATGTTTACTTATGGTAGACACATTTATGAAACATTTTGTTCTTTCTTTGGTCGTGTGTTTCAAAGAGTTTTTTATGTCTTTTGTAATATATATGAACTTAAATCTTCTTTAGTGAAACTGTATTTTTGAGAATGATACTGATATATATAAGTATATTGGGCGTATAAATGATATGATCATAATAAAACAAACAATGTGTCAGACAAAATAAATCTGTCAGTGCTTTCTGTCTAAAATCCCTTGTAATGGTTATACGTTTTAATCATGTCAAGCTTAGCACTTATTACACACTGATAAGATATAACCTTAATAATCTAATATCAGCCTGGTCTGTTTATTACGCCAGCCTGAGAATAAAAACAGTGCTTTTGTAAATATCTTAGAGCAAACATTCACCAAGGAGAATTCCATTCATGTAATGTTTGTATGTGGGTTAAAGCTGTTGTTGTGAAGATCAATATCTGTGTTAAAAAAAAACATCTTCACGCATAAATCAGAAATGGTCAAAACAAAGGAAATAGTCTTATAGGCTAAAGATTCAGAAATATAATTTATTTATTTATTTTTTAAATACATTTTAAGTACAAAAGCAAAGGAACATAATACAACAACTTTTATAAACCAAGCATCCTCAATACAAATGCAAACTAAGTGTCTCAGTTACTTGAAAGAGTTCTCTAGTTTTTAAACAAAATAAAAAAAAATCCCTCCAGCAGCCTCTCACATTTGTCAGTCTCAGTGCTCAGTAGAGATTCACAGTCTGGAATGATTCGGTTTATGAAGCACATGAATAATTTAGGGGGGGGTTTATGGATTGAGACGAGCTGATGGAGGAACAGGGGAAAAGGTCAGGAGTACATGAGGTGGTCGGCCACGCTAGATAACACCCAGCTGTTTTTTCAGCCTCCTCAGCTGCTCCATGCTGATGTTGTTGCCGCCGCACACCACGATGACCACTGGGCCCAGGCTCCGTGCCAGCTTCCCCTCATCCTGCAACCTTTTGATAATGTCGCTGTACACAGCTGCCAGGGCCGCACCGCAGGCCGGCTCCACCAGGACCTTCTCATCGTCTGCAGAGAGAGAGAGCAGATATCAGAACGGATCAGGCCCAAAGCTCATTATTGGGCAATTTTATCTGCTCTGCATGTTAGGGTGCAGGTTGAACTCACCTACAAAGCGTTCCACAGCTTTCACAGCCTCCTGATCTGTGACCACTGCTGAGAAAACTGTATGCTCGTTCACCAGTTTAAAAGTCTGTGCAGAAACTCTTGTCAGACCCAACGTTGTTGCAACACTAGAGAGCAAAAAAAAAAAAACATCAGTCTAGTTTGGAAAAATCTTGGATATTGTTATCTTTTGGTATAAAATGCATGAAATTAGGTTTCTGTACCTGGTGATTTCAGGTAAAGTGACCAGCTCTCCTGCCTTCATTGCTGCATTGAGGCTGTGTGCTCCCATTGTTTCCATGGCTACAATGGGCACGTCAGCCCAGCCAGCACGCCGCAGCCCCTCCACCACTCCATTCAGCAGACCTCCGCCCCCCACTGACAACACTATCGCTCCTGGCTTCTCCCTCATGTCCTGTTCCAGCTCCCTCACCAGAGATGTGTGGCCTTCCCTGCACAGAAACACAACCAAATTCTGTCATTTTCTCAGGCGTTTATTGTCTTCTGATTTCAAAGGAGTACACATCAAAACATACAATAACATAGACAAAACCCCCTCTTCCCCACCACCAAATTGGACAAAGAAGAAAATTATTACAAATAATAAATCTAGATTCAAAATGATGTAGTGTATGGTCCTGGTTAAACACCTCGACAGTGACGTCATGTGTAAATTAATTATGAACGACTTAGCAGTGTGATAAGATACCACACATCTGGCATAACACCTCATTCAGCCTCTGCACCTGCTCCATGCATGATAAGACAGGTGTAACTATCAGTCATTTTGTAACAATCATACTTCCTTATCACTTCCCTCACTATCTTCTGATAACATATAGATTACTGTACAACACTCTGCGCACAAAGACTACAAAGTATGCAGTAACAATCTCTAAAGGACACAGGCTCTGAGTTTTACCAGATGAGAGGGTCGTCAAATGGGGAGATGAAAATCCAGCCACGGTTGTTTGCCACCAGCTGCTGTCCGTATTCCATGCTTTCATTTAAGGCCTGAAAAAGAAACAACTTGATTTAGTCTAATGTATCACATACATGTCTCTCTATTACATATATCTCTATTCTATGTACAAAAAGTAATAAGTAGGTGAAGAAAATTTTGAAATTTGAAATAGTTGTGTGCATAATTCAACCAGTGTCCCGGATATCTTACATTTCTATTTATGATGTAAAAACATCTACTGTCATTGATGTGACGAGTGTTTTTAAGAACACGTGAGCTTTTCTCACCTTGCCATGGATTATCACATTGGCTCCCTCATCCTTCAGTCTCTCCACTGTTGGGTTTGGTGTAACACTTGGAACCACTATGGTTGCAGGAACTCCGAGCTGACGGGCAGAATAAGCTGCTGCCATCCCAGCGTTTCCTCCTGTTGTGGGCCCGAAAAAAAGAAACATTTCACTGTCAGACACACGAAGACAGGCAAAAATAAGTCTAAAGTTGATTCTTTCTAGCTTCAGTGCTCACCTGAACAGCAGACAAAACGCTCACATCCTCGCTCTGCCCACTAACGGGGAAAAAACAACAGTCAAAATGTTAAAGTGACAATGGGAAAAACGGGAAAAAAAACCACATCATCCCAGAGACTAACAGTACTTACAGTTTTGCACAGGTGACCGATGCCCCTGATTTTGAAGGAGCCCGTGGGCTGAGATGAGTCCAGCTTGAGGTAAACAGAGGTCCCTGCTACTTTAGTGAGGACAAGGCTCTGTCTCACTGGAGTGGCCACATGTAGAGGCTGCTGGGTCTTCATCTTACTAAACACTACAGCAGAGAAACAATTTTCATGTGTCAAATAGGCAATTCATTCCCCCTAAAAAGGACTACTATCTCTTTTCTCAAACACCATGAATAACCTGTATATGTCAACTTACCAGTCTCAGATGAATGTCAGGATGTGGAGATTGTTTTGGATATTGACCCCAAACTTCCTTATTCCTTATTTCTTGTCTCTTGCATTTGAAGTTTATATATGTACTTGGGCTGTGGGCTTGGCACATGAGGCCCACTTGTAGACCAATCAGCTTCAGGCATCCTGCCAGGAGACCCTCCCAAGACCGCGAGGAAGATGCATGATGAGGATGAATGACATTGTTTCCATTGAAATTCACTCCTTTTTCTTAGACAACAAAAACATTTTTCCAGGATGATTCGGGTTCTGATGTAAGCTAGCAGATTCAAAATGTCTGGAATGATACGATAAGACAAATGTAAATAAAATAAATTGAAATTAAAACTGAATTTCACTTTGTGCTGTCTTAATACAGATATTATATTTTGATTTATAGTAAAAAATAATAATAATTCAAACGTGTAAACACGTGTTTAAAACCCATCCTACATTACACAATTTTGCCCTTCTGAGTGACCCCTCATGACTCATTCGTTCCCCTCTAAAGGAGTGGCACGGCCCGCAGACATTACCAAAAGAGTTGCTACTATTTTAGCAGCCCCACTTCCAAAAGCGGGTCCGCGCGCTGCCTCCGTGAGGAAGGCTCAAACCTGATAAATCCGGCTGTCGGATCCTGTCAAGATACAAGACTTAAATATGTTGTTCCTTCGTCTGTAAATGTAACGTTGATATATATTTTCAAAACGGGCCACCAAAAAGATAAAATCCATCGGAGTAGGCCTTCATTGTAAGCACGCGACTTTAACAAGTAGTTTTCTTGTATTTTCTTCTTCCCAGGATTTATTACCTTACAGTCTGTGTTTATTACACATTTTTCCAACCACACTACATTATTTTGACACGTATTAGCCAATATTTACAGTCTATTAGCAGATATTTAACAGAATATAACACTCACACAAAAATCACATTATTAATTCTCATACGGCAACTTTATGCAGATTGAATTTCGCTAAAAAGTATTTAGAAATTGCCCCTGTAGGTACAACATTGGAATTATTCAGTCCTGAACAAGTATCAGCAATATTCTTGCTGAGTAGCCTACTCCACTAAATGTAGGTCAGTCTGTCTTGTCAGGTTGCTTATTATGTCATGTGAGGAAAACAAACAAATAATAATAATTGTAATAATAACTTTATTTATATAGCACCTTTTAAAAACACAGGTTTACAAAGTGGTTTGACAAACAGCAAGAACAAGAACAAAGCAAGTTAAACCAAACACAGAGGAACATTAACAACAGTAAGAATATAATGCAAAATACTAAAAATAATTAAATACAATTCAACAGAAAAGAACCCAAAGTGCACGATACCCAACAGACATATATAACCCGACCATCACAAGAACCATCACAAGAACCATTATAAGAACTCAGGCAACACAAGAACCCAACAACAAGAGCTGAGACCAAGAGGACCAAAGATTTAAAAATATGTAAGAAACTAAAAGAGCTGAAAAAAATAAATAAAAAGACAACAGCAATAAGAAGGTAAGAGCAGTAAAAGAAGTAGAAACAAGTGGTTAAAGGGTCAAAAAACCCAAAACTATAATATTAATAAAAATAAAAAGTAAGTAAGGTAAGAAATTAGCAAGTTAAAACACAAGGAGATTAAGATATGAGCATAAATAAAAGAACAGTAAGAAGTAAAAGAAGATAAGAACAGTAAAACCAGTAAGAAAAGACATTAAGAAGACGACATCACATAAAAGCAAGTCTGTAAAAGTATGTTTTAAGAAGGATTTAAAAGAATTGAGGGAAGCTGCAAGTCGTATCTCCTCAGGGTGGTCATTCCAAAGTCGAGGGGCCCTGACTGAAAAGGCCCGGTCACCTTTAGTTTTAAGTCTCGACTTTGGAACGACCAGGAGGCCCCCACCTGAGGATCTAAGACTGCGGGCTGGCTCATATGGTGTCAGTAGCTCTGTTATATAACTTGGAGCCAGCACCGTCCGTGCTTTTTAAAGTAATGAGTAAAATCCTAAAATCGATCCTAAAACGTACAGGAAGCCAGTGTAATGAAGCTAAAATTGGAGTGATGTGATGTCGTCTGTTACAACCAGTAAGAAGCCTAGCTGCTGCATTTTGGACTAGCTGGAGGCAAGACAGTGACTTATTTGTGATTCCGGAAAAGAGGGAGTTACAATAGTCAAGTCAGGAGAAAATGAGGGCGTGGATGATCTTTTCAAGGTGTGGTTGGGTTAGTATTGTTTTAATTTTGGAGATGGTGCGTAGATGGAAGAAGCATGATCGGACAACTGTTTTGATATGGGATTCAAAGGTGAGATTGCAATCGAATGTTATTCCTAGATTTCTGGCGGTGGGTTGGACATTGGTGAATAAGGGACCAAGGCTGCTTTTTGAGATATGAGTGGAGTTTGGCAGGTTGAATACTATGATTTCAGATTTAGAATTGTTCAGTTGGAGAAAGTTTTGTGCCATCCAGCAGTTGATATCGTTTAGGCAGTTTCTGACAGCAGCTAGGCTCCAAGCGTCATCAGGTCTCAAAGGAAGGTATATCTGTGTGTCGTCTGCGTAGCAGTGAAAGGAGACATTGTGGCGTTCAATTATTTGGCCAAGAGGCAGCATATAAATGGAGAATAAAATGGGAGCTAAAACCGAACCTTGCGGTACACCACAGGTAATGTTAGAGGTAGAGGAGGAGTAGTTACCGATGGTGACCGCGAAGGTTCTTTCTTAAAGATAAGAGTAAAACCAGCTAAGTGCAGTATCCTTTAAACCAACCCATTTTCTGAGACGATCAATTAAAATTGTGTGATCAACAGTATCAAAAGCTGCGCTAAGATCTAAAAGAATTAAAAGAATTAAAATTCTTAATAGGAAACATTGATTTAAAGCACACCAATAACGTGTCTTGTAAAACATACCCAACCGGATTTACCTAAAATTGATCAAACAAGTTGAAAAAATTTGAGTTTAATAGAAAGATATGTGCAGTACCTATAGATAAACTGAAAACAAAGAATGGAACCAAATGGGGAGTCTAGTAAATAACAATAGACCTACATTATATTTCAGCTGGCGTTAGTTTGTCACATCCTTAAGTTTTTACAGTTTTAGCACCCCAAAACAAACTTTACAGCAGACAAGTAAGTGTACACATATTTATAATGAAGCATGGGCTTGATTTTCATCCCTGTTTAGGTATAGATTGTCATGCCACATTTATTCCACTAATGTTTGGATTTGTTGTTTTAACCCAAAAGCCAATTATTTTTTTTAGAATAGGTGACTCCAAATAGCAAACGCTCCTGACGTTGCTGTTCTCTTAAAATTATTCATACTGTCATCAAAAATGACAGCCAATTATCTGATCAGAAATACATGCTATAGGCCTAACTAAAGTTTAGCTTCTCAAGTTACTTTAGTGTCTCCTTTCATGAACTGTCTGCTGTCAGGGCGAAATTGCGCTCTGTTAAGGACTCTAACGCCACCTGCTGGTGAAGAGCTGCACTTACAATAATTTTTCTGCTCTCCTAGAGAATGCAAATGCAATAGTTACATTTAAAATGCTAGAATGGGCAGAGCAGAGGTTTCCCTGTATGAGTTTATTTTTTTGTAGGTAATTGAAAAACTGTTATTGATTTTTTTTTGTAAAAAGGTAGGCTAGCAAAAAAATAAATATATTCTGATAATTAGTGATTAGACTCGGTCTCTTGCTAAATAAACAGGATATTTGCACATTATTTTACAAGCGATATATCTATAATTTTCTAAAAACATGTTCTTTACAGAAAAGGTTTCGGGTTTGTAGTGGTCTTGATTTAATATATAAAAAAGTTGTTTGTTCAAGTATTTGTCTGGATACATAGGCTATTTAAGAAAGTTTCGTAAGGGAACACTAAAGATGTGCACAAAGTATCATTTAAACAATTGCATTAGGAGGACTGATTGCTGTTCTTTGTTCTGCAGGGTTTCATTTAATAATGCTTTTGTGTTCTCTGAAGCACAAAGCAGGAGGACCTTCATCAGAGGGACCCTCAGTGGCTGAAGTCATTTTCGACTTTATATAATCATACATTTTCATTGGCGCAGGTAACATATACCCAGCAGTAGGCTAATTTAGTTTTTTAAGTTGCACGTAAGGACCATGGCGGCAGTCTCCGAGGGAAAACATGAAAATTTTGGACTCTCCTTGTATTGTTGGGTGCTGAGATCTATTTGATCCAAAAGGTTCCATTTCTAGTTTTGCAGGTGAGACTCACATTGTCAGATGAGAATATTTGAGATATTTAGGGCCCGAGCACCGACCGTGGAAGGAGTAACTGAAGGAATAATTATTCTCCCTCACCACAATGAATCGCTTATTAAGGGGCTTTAAGTACACGAAAACTCACCAAACTTCACCGAAAATTCAGCTTCACATGAAATTTACATATGAAAGTAGTTCGGTGCCATAGCTTGGTGGATGGACGGCGCTGATTGGCTCCACAGCGCCCCCCAAAGGTCACTCATGGTACTGCTGTATTTCGTACAACCTACATGAACTAAAATTGGTGAGCCATATGAAGCTCAATGAGACGAGAAAAAAATTACAATATGAACATACTCTTAAATGTACAGGAAGTGCGCTAGGCACAGTCAAAGTCCAATTTTTCAGATTTCACAGCATCCCTATTTGAATGCCCTTGTCCGAGGGTGTTCATCTGATAAATTCAAGTTTCAAATGAAAGTAGACAAGTTCAAGATTCAAATTTGTGTGAACCACTAGGTTTCACCATAGGATGTAGCTGTGGCGGGCTCTCAAAGTTTGATGAAGTTTTTGGCATGCCGCCAACAAAATAAATTGTTATAACTCTGACATGCAGTCTTCTATTATCACCAAATTTGTCACGCAAGATACGAGGACCGCCCTGAAGACATCAACGGTTGATTATTTTTTTGGGAAAATATATGTTTAGTGACTGAGATTTACAGATACATACAGTAATATGATGTACTGTATATGCACAGAGAGAGAAAGTCACTACTTCTGAAATAGCACTAGCCATTCCAACACGGTTACTCATATCGCCCTGAATATTCGTGTGGACCATCCTAAGACCATGGACATACTACATTTCCAATCTCAAAGGCCTGTGTCAAATGCTGTTACCGTCATACGTGTCGCTCACCATCAAACAAGAAGTAGTTATTTGAGGGGCTTAACAGAGTCGTATACACACAAAACTTCATACAAATCATCCCAGTGGAGAAGTAAAACTTTTCATGTGGGTATAAGAGGGTGTGGCTAAATTGCTCAGTGGCGCCCCTTTGACATTTTCAAAAAGACCTCCCCAAAGATGTTTTTTACACCTACATGCATGATAATTTTTATCCACATTTACCATGTCAAAACCTACATAAAATCCTCTGGCACCCATATTCAAAACCCAACAGGAAGTCCGCCATAATTTATTTAATGTAAGATAAATAGCTAAATTTCGCGATTCACAGACTACTTATGTGAACAAACTTGCCAGAGGCTCTCTTTATCCGATAATTACCAACTCATTGTCAGTGTGTTCTAGACATGTTGAAGATCTCCCGTTGTGTTCCGCACGATTCTACGTAAAAGGATGTGGCCACGGTGTGCCCCGGTCAGCTTTTCCAAAAGGCCTACCCATAGATTATTTTTCACCTACATGCATGACACATTTTCTGTATATTAACAATGTCAGGACCTACATAAAATCCTCTTGAACCCATTGTCAGCACATGAGTGGACCAGACCGGCATATGGCATGTGCCACTCATGTGCCGCGGCATGTGCTGGCCTGACAGCAAATTAATGGACCAGAATGGCATATGCCACTCATATGATGTGGCACATGCCACTCATATGCGGCATATGTTGAGTGTTCATGCGGAACATGAGTGGACCAGACTGGCACAAAATAGGAGTAACAGTAAAACAGGAGTGAATACTAACAGAAGAACATTGCAAGGGATTTTGGCACATTGATTTGGGCACTACCCACACATTTAGCTGTGTTGCTCATTCCACGAATGCATGATCCTTACAAGTTATACCTCGTTATTAAGGTGACTAATCAGGCTTTCCAATGATATATAATACAACACCAATTAGTATTTTTAAAGGGGCAAAATAATTGACTGAAATAACTTTTTTCAATAATAATAACTTTTCTTGAGGAGTTTACTTAGTAACCATTAGGTGACCACTAAGTAACCACTCGGTAAACACTAAGTAACTACTAGGTAACCACTAAGTAACTACTAGGTAACCACTAAGTAACCACTCGGTAAACACTAAGTAACAATTAGGTAACTACTAGGTAACCACTCGGTAAACACTAAGTAACAACTAGGTAACCGCTAAGTAACAACTAGGTAAACACTAAGTAACTACTAGGTAACAACTAAGTAACCACTTGGTAAACATTACGTAACTACTAGGTAACCACTAAGTAACCACTCGGTAAACACTAAGTAACTACTAGGTAACAACTAAGTAACCACAAGGTAAACACTAAGTAACTACTAGGTAACAACTAAGTAACCACTTGGTAAACACTAAGTAACTACTAGGTAACAACTAAGTAACCACAAGGTAAACACTAAGTAACTACTAGGTAACAACTAAGTAACCACTTGGTAAACACTAAGTAAACACTAAGTAACTACTTGCCATGATTTGGCTTTTTCTAGTTTTTGTTTTTCAGTGTTTAGTGTTTCTTTATGTTCTAGTGTGTTTTCATCAGTCTTGAGTTCTGTGTGTCCTCAGTGTTTCTTGTATTCCTGCCTCTGTGTGTTTCCCTGTGTGATTGCCCTGATTGTCCTCACCTGTGTCTTGTTAGTCTCACCTGTGTCTGATTCCCCTGTGTATTTAGTCTCTGTGTTTCTTCCCTTCTGAGTCAGTTCATTGTTATATGTAGTCTGGATGTTGTTCGTTGGTATGTCAGTTTTTTGCTCGTGCTCCTCTGTGGCTCCCTTGCTCCCCGTGTTTTTTGTTGAACTTTTGTAAGTACGTTTTTGTTGCCTTTGGCCTTTTTGTTTAATTAAATATTTTTGGTTTTCCTGCACTTGGGTCCACCATTCCTTGTTTTACACACCGTACCGTAACACTACTAGGTAACCACTAAGTAACCACTCGGTAAACACTAAGGAACTACTCAGTAAACACTAAGGAACTACTAGGTAACAATTAAGTAACCACTAAGTTACCACTCAGTAACCACTCGGTAAACACTAAGTAACCACTCGGTAAACACTAAGGAACTACTAGGTAAACACTAAGTAACCACTAAGTTACCACTAAGTAACTACCAGGTAACCAAGTTGGAATATTGAAAAGGTTATTTTAAGATAAAACACATTGTACAATTTTTAAATAAAAGCTTTCAAATATACAATAGTTCCTTGTTCATTTTCTTTTCTACAGGAATTGTACAAGCACTTTAAATTAAGTCTTTATATGAGTATATGTAATACCAATACAATGCATGTCCATGCATTATTACTACATGGTAACTTACTGCCACTACCTCATTTGCAGCTAGCCTACAATTTTTTGTTGGCCTGTTTTGGGGATTTTTTTAGTTTTATATATTTAAATAGAATAATTGGTAAACCAGAAAAAAAATCTAACTGTTATGATAAACCAAGCCACACATTAAGGTATACACTGCATTATCCTCTCTTTTTTTTCTAGCCTACTTTAAATTGGACCATTAAACTTAACTTAGATAATAAAATTAATTTAAACGTGGGTAATTTTCTAATGTATTGCCCACCCCCCACTGGCCATAAGAAAGAATGCAGGTTTCAGACACTTCACATCCCCTTCTTGTGAACAATAAAATGTGTTACACATCTGAAGTGTATGTGCTATGTGAATACAACAGACATTGTATAAGGGCCTTGGATCCACGTTTCCCACAATTTGTACTTTTATTTTTTTTTACATTTTTTAGTCGCTGTCAGAAATCCCTGATGGCTCAACTGGAAATAACAGCTCACAAGGCCTATTTGAAAGGCCCTACACTTTGTTGCTCGTTACAACTTAACAATATGACCTTAACGCAACATCTCCCAAACCCTTTGCACGCGGAGGTCATATCTCTTATCTCTTTTGTTAATATCGTTTTACGCAAACGGCATGAAAATGTAATTCCACTTTTTAGCGTGTTTTAAACTCACCAAATTACCATAATAGGTAACCGGTATTAACGTCGATAAATTGGAGTCTTATTTTCCCAACTCAGGCTCCCACAGACCTTCATGTCCCTCTGCACAGCGCTCAGAAATCCGCTATGGCAACAGGAGGAAAAAAGACAAGGAAAAAAAGGAAAAGATTTGACAACATGGCGCACTTTCCTTGAGAAAAGTTTCCCCAGAACGCCAAACAGTGAAGTATTTGTGGCTTTTCCTCGCAGTTTCTCGTCACTCGCTCAACAACGTGGACTTTTGGCTCACTTTGAAACACCTCTTGGAGAATAAACAATCGATACAAAGCGGGGAATACGTGTGATGGGATGAGAGCGATAATCGGTCGCATTAACCAAAGCAGTGAGACAGGATGGAGAAGCAAACGACTCTGAAAGAAAAGGTAAATGGATTAATAACAACTACGTTATAGCTGTCACGTGAGCGACTATTGTTTTTGAAGTTTTTGGCATTTTACTGCCGCCCCGAATACTACTTTTTTTACTTTGTTGGCAGGAAATGCCAAGTGACCATTCCTGAGAAAACCTCGTAAAAGTCCTCTATCGATTTTCCAGTCTTGCACACTGTACTGTACTGCACAGTAGATATGTGGGTTCTCTTAAAGCCGACAATAGTCTACATAAATATGACTTCAATGTCAACTAAAGAGTGTACAGATAATAAAAAGGCTGAAAACCACACATATTTTCTTCGTGCATGAACAGAAGCTTGCACAGTGGTAGTAAATTCATGTGGTAGGCTTCATCCACAAAACCAATTACACTCAAAAATATGTGCATCCCTGGCTATATTCCCCTTTTGAGTTCATCTCTGTCTGTTTGTCTAATGATTTAGCTGGTGGGTGTCCTCAGTAGCATATTGGTGTTGTCTTTTATTATCTCTCTCTCCACCCTTCCTGCCCTGATACAGTTGTCAGCCCCCTGTTTGTTGTGGCAGATGAGACAGCAGCGCTCACAGTGGACCATCCCCTCCTCTGGTCCTGTTAATCAGCTGACTTATAGAGGCTGTCTTAGAAAATATCATGCACATTATTCTTGGCCTCTGGAATCACTAATCAATCACGAATGCTAAGCTTTGATTTGTTTTGGAGCCAGCCTTTTAATGTTAGCACGAGTGAACATTGCAGTCCGTCGTCCCTTTAGTCAGTTTGCGTATTTGAGAGGTGAGTTTCCTCTCCATGGGACACATGCTCAAATCTCAGCTTGTTTTAAATCTCCCGAGCACTCTCCCCCACTGGTTTACCTTGTAAATTCTGCAGCATAAGTGATCTACAGGTGTTAAATAGGCTATTAGAGGTAGAAATAAAACACTAAACCCTTTAAAATCCAGCCAACGTGAAGCAGGTTATAATTTTCCCCATGCTTTTATATTACTTCAAACTTAAAACAATTTAATAGTTGAAAAGAAAAACATAAAATGTCGAGAAAAGATGAAGGTCTGAAGGTGCAAAAATGAAACTGATTGCTGCTACAGTGTAACTTGAAGTTGAATACTGGATAGCCTACAAAAGCTCTCATGTCTGCTGCTTCTACTCCCCAGGCTTCTGGAAGTAATTACCCAGCCTGCCCTATCCCAGAATTCAGTCTGAGGAGGTGTGGTGAGAAAGAGGTAGCATATAATGCAAGCCGGCCCTAAAAACATGCAACTCGAGTGGATTTCATGATTCAGTAACACTCAGCAAACCGTTCCTGCTAAATAGAAACAGCCCTCATCTTCTACCTAATCAGACCGCGTCGGTGGGATGCAGATACAGCAAGACTTGGATCCTGATAATTAACCTCACAGTCAAAAGGTTTGCTGGTTTGTTGGTTCAGAAGTTCAACAAGCTGAAAATGAATGTGAACTAATAGAAACAAATCCTACACTCATGCCCCTCGCTCTTTAATTCAGGTTTAATTTTGTGGATGATGATCATTCAGTGAAATTTAGATGTCTTCTGTTGAATTCAATTTTTTTTTAATTAAATTAAAATTTGACATACTTTCTAATCCCCCCAGGGAAGTTCTTGTTTAACACTCTGTTATTGAGAGACATGCTTCACATACACATAGGCTCGAATTACACACATGCACAAACAGGACCTATAGACATGGATTAATTGAGATCTGGTGAGGGTTCGATGCCTTGCTCAAGGGCACCTCTGCAGGACTCTGGAAGTGACCTGGCACCTCTCCAGCAAACAGACCAACTTACATACTTAAATACTCCGCACCAGGACTTGAACCAGCGACCCTCTGGTTTCCAGCTCATGTCCCGACAGACTAAGCTGCTGTACAGGATTAACAGGCGGAACATCCAAATACATATGACCTTATTTTTTTAACTTCTAGGCTGAGATGTAATAACACCATGATCTGGCTCAATATAAGATTGAGCTTTATTTTATGTAAGATACAGCTTTATTTAGAAAATGTAGCGCACTGCCTTGACAGACAGATATTCTAAAGTGGAAGAAAGTCATGTACGTTTGTTTTATTGAAAGAAGACGATTGATTTTCTGTCTAAAAGAGTTCTGTAGTAAATTATATCCAAGTTGCCTTTTGTTAGTTCATGTAAATGTAATATTTTGGCATGTGATATTGTGTCATTATCAATCGCAGGACTATAACATTATCTAAATTGTGTTATGGCAGATACACTTTATATTATTGTCCAGCAAACAGATGTATCAGATTGTGATGAGAACTGTGATCTACCCCACTACTAGCAGGATTGAAAGGATAAACTTTGTGTCCTTAAGACCTCTCCTAGTTTTAACCCTTAAAGTTTCATAGACATATAGGTGAGGAAAAAAAGGTAATTTATTATGTCTAACTTTATGGATCTTTCATTAAGTCCATAAAGTTAGCTGTGCTCCACTGTCAAGCCCATTCATTGTCTAGGCCTATGAGTTGCTCCATGCAAGAGCGCACAGGGTCACGTTAAAAACATTTTTTAACGGTCTTTCAGATAGGGATAGAAAAGAAGTAGCTAGTTCCCCAACTATTGTTCCAGTCATCTAGCCCCGTTGCTTTTTTGTCGTGTTTACGCTCCCCTTCTGCTCTGCGCCCCGCTCCGTGGCGAGCGCAGCGGGTCCTTTCTGAAAGGCCTTTCTGAATTTCTCAGAATTGGATTTGAAGTAGTCTTTGATTTTTTAAAATTTAAACTTAATCAAATTCATTCATATGAGGAAATTGTTGTTAGCCTATATGTAATACAACATATAACACTAACAGTTCATTTAAGAACTTCTGTGTCTCAGAAAGCCACTTTACTGAGGCAGTATGGAAATTAGTGAAAGTGTCTCAGAGCTGGTCGATCTTACATTTTTTTAGCTGTCTTCAATATTAGTGGGCACAGAACATGAAATAGAGGTGCTGTGAAAAAGGAACCAACAGCTTAGTTATTAAATAAAGCTACAGTATTTGTTTCATTTGCTTGTGCATGAGAAGATGAGTCGGTTGGAGATACACTCACATTTATTCGGCCTTAACATTTTAGCTGCATGTTTTTTTTTTTAGAGCTTTCTTTTTGGGCTTTTTATACCTCTATTCAGAGACAGGGAAGTGGATATATTCAAAAATCGGGCAGAGAGAGTGGGGTTTGACTTGAGGGAAAAGAGTTTGATTCAAAATCCGGGCCGCCCGCCTGGAGGACAACAGTCTCCACACATGAGGCGGGAGCACCATCCACTAGGTCACAGACGCCCCTTTAGCTGTATGTTTAATCTACAGTAGGACATTCCAGTTGATATGGTCTTATCATATTTTGTAATTAGACTGATATTAGCTCTGCCCCTCCCTCTCTTTTTCCTTTCTCCAGTTTTCAGTCTTTGGCTCTCGGACAGCGGGAAGACCTTTCCGGTGTGTTTCTGGAGATGGAGGGGCCAGGTTTGGTCTCAGCAAAGCCGAGTTCATGGAGAAGGTGCAGCAGAGCAACGAGGCGTGTCAGCGTGGGGACTTTCAGACGGCCGTCCATTTGTACACTAACGCCCTGCAAGCCGACCCACAGAACTGCATCCTGTACAGTAATCGCTCAGCAGCACTTCTCAAACTGGGACAGCACCTGGCGGCGCTGGATGATGCTGAAAAAGCTTGTGAGCTCAACCCCAAGTGGCCCAAGGTAATTCTGACTTAAAAGCTGAGAACTATTGCGAGTCCTGCCTTTTCCCCTCTGTAAAACAGCAATTATTTCACCAAAAGTTGACCAATAGAGTGCTGTTCTATAAGTTGTAAATCAATTCAAAAGAAAACACACTGTTCAGTAGGTGCAAAACACAATTATAAAATTTAAGTAAAAGTGTCTTAAAAGGGAGATTTGGTCAATACTGCAGGTCATAATGGCAAAGAAGGTAAAAAGGTACTACCTTTTTTTCTGCATTGTAAGGGGGAAGCACTTGTAAGTTGTGGGAAAGTGAAATATATGCTTTTTAGATAAAGGTCAATTTTATTTCATTGTTTAAAAACAATTATTTTTGTACTATAGGTTAAAAGAGTTTTACGAATTATTTTACTCTTTCTTTTCTCGAAAAAAAACCGAATAACTTATCTCAAAGTCATTGTTTCAGATTCCACTCACACTGTCCTTTCTCAGTTGCATTCCTCCTGATCAATACAAACTTTTTCTGGGGTCTTGTCTTTGATCTTGTCCAGGCCATGCGGACTAACCTGTGATAGATTTCACATTACTCAGCCGCTGAGATCACTGGGCGACCAATTCCTCTCAGTGATAGAAATGCATTGATTTCATGATTTAGCATGGAGAGATACTTTTGTCTTTCCAGAGAGAGATTGATGATAATGCGGTGAAGTGCTATTGATGATAACTTGTCGCTGTCGATGATGCATCAGCGGCCACCTCTTCTTTGATCTCAGGTCGTGTGTCTTTGGATGCTCAGGTAGGTTTCCTCCTCGGTAAAATGTGTCATTCTTCTGAGGATTGTCACTTTTAATCCCTGAGATAATACAGTGTTCTTTAACGGCCCAATACTTTGTCAGCCTTCTAACAAACAAATTGGAGAGCTCTCATTAATAAATGTCAGTTCCATATTTGTACCTTTATAGCACACATTGTTTGCAATAATTCCTCATATTTCAGTACAGTGCTTTGTCTTCATCATTTCATAACCCTCTAAAGCCACTGAGCCCAAACTATAACTGAAAATCACTGCCAAAATCATTCTCCTTTCTTCACTTTATATGCTTTCCAGCTACAATGAGCTCTCTGTGGTCTGACTGGGGGGATGGTTGGTTTAATCTCTGCATTGTAGCTCTGCTTCTTCGTGGATTTACAGCCTGACAGGGTTGATTCTTATACTGTTAGCAGACTCTGTGCGTATGTATAGCCTGACCTGTGTGTTTTACCTTGTAACAGGAGACTCCAGGATTAGTATGTCTGTGGCATTGACAGCTAAACAGAGGGCTGCATACGTTTTAGATTAAGTATCTTGAAGCACCACTAGGGGTCAGTCTTGTCAAACAGGAAGGCTGTTTAAACTGTTCAAAACGTTTTGTCTGTGCAGGATAAAAACTCATTTCAAGCTATTCAGTATATGAGATTTTTTTTAACATCATCAAGTAAAGCTGAATGCTCATCATGACTGGCTTTCATTTAAAAGAAAACATGTATCAACATATGCGTCACAGAGAATTCTATGGCCGGGGTTTTTTCTACTATGAATGAACAGGTGGAGGCCAATGTCACGATAAATCCATAACCAGTTTTTCTTTCTGAGTTGTCTGAAGAAATTCACATTTAGTTCAAACTAAACTCTAATCTATCCATCAGTTTCATCACTTGTATCACTGTGCTGTAGTGGATATGAATGAACAGTGATTTGTAGTACAGCTGCTGTATTACGTGAGTCCTGCCTCTAAGAATTGATTAGTAATGGTGGTCTTGACACTTAAGGTGTCGGCCTCAGGGAGAGGGGGTTTGGCGTCATACATGCCATCTTCTAGACCCGGATGTGGGATGAAGGAACAGGGATTAAACCACGAGAGTGTGCTGGCATTCAGATCCTGTGTAAGTACATAATATCATCAATCATACCGCTCTATGACTGCACTCCTGGATTGGCTCGTCAAACACTGACAGGTGTGGTTTATTCTGCCCCAAGCACCAGCGAGCAGCCCACCCTCCTGAAGCCCACAGGCAGCCTGTGAACGCAGCCCCCTGTCTAATCTGTCAGCTTTCTCTGCTGTAAGTGCCAGAAAACACATTCTGAAAGACGAAAGAAAATGTGTGGTTTAATGACCCCAGACAGCTTTAGGCCCTTTGTACCTCACCCTCTTACTGAATATAAAAAGCTTAAATGAGAACAAAATAGGGTGTCATTTCATAGAGAAGGGGTGCACCATGGTGTGTGTGTGTGTGTGTGTGTGTGTGTGTGTGTGTGTGTGTGTGTGTGTGTTCACATTTTGTCTCTTTGAGCTGGACTGGGAGCCAAAAAAAAACGAGTGGTGTTTACTCCGGCTTCTTTTCTGGGCATGATTAATAATTTTTTAGGACAAAAAGATTCCTTAAAGTTAAGCTTACACTTAGTCTGTTTAAAATCCTTGATGATACATATTTAGATACCTAGATCAAAGAACGAGCTAATACACCTCTCCAAACCAGTGCAACTGAAAAATATTAATGCTAATGTGTTGCTAACTTTAACTGACATTGCACTGTGTGCTAGCACAACTGTTATTTTGTCATTGTCAAAAGATCATTGACCTGAAACCAGTATATTTTTAAGGAGCTAATATGTCGATCAGAGGCCGATAACACTATTGTAGCCACATCAACCTCGACAAATACTGATATATGAAAATGCATGTTAAATGCAAGTAATTTTAGCTTGTTTTGTAGGAGTATTTTTGCATTCTGCAATGCACCTCATGTGCAATTTAGTCTAGCAGAGACTGAGGGGACTATACCCTCTGTAGATGGATTCCCTGCCTCCTCCATTTCTCCATCTGGTCCCACACTCTCACCACGGCTGCTCCAGTGACATGTTAAACAAACAGCCCTCTCTGCCATCACTCCCATTCTCCTGCGTGAGCGCTGACGGGAGAGCTCCCTGGGAAGCAAACGACAACTGGCACTTCAGCATCAGGGGAAACATCTCTGTCATTTGCATATCTTCTGATTATAGGTTATGATTGTGCCTATCAAGAGTATTCTGTCTCCTCAAGTGTTTATGCCAAAGTTCCAGTGACACCCTCATAATGACGGTTAAAACCCATCAAGCCTTCATTCCCAGAAGAAGCTGTAACACATTTTATTTTTCAAGTGCATGCCAGTACTTGCATAATTTTTGTCTTTTACCAACATAAAAATGTCCCTTAACAACCTGAGAGAGGGGCCCTGGGTTTAACTGAGACAATGAGTGTTTGCATTTGGAAAGGTCATGGTGTGTGTAGTGCAGGAAGAGGACTTTAATTACAGCAGCAGCATATCCAGTGATTGTGCGAGGAGTGGATGCTGACACCTCGGTGAGGCATAAGGCTTCTTTTTCCTGCGGTACTGAATGGGCGGTGACACTGCCTGTGGCTGTGACTGTACACGGAAAAGGAAGAAAAGAATTGTGTGTGATTTGCAGGACTCGTCCCTTACCCCCCCTCAGCAGTGCTCTGCTTTTCATGGATAAAAACCATTGGGGTGTAATGCTCCCCTTGGTGTGACAGTCCGTTAAACCAGCTCTCATCTGATCTCACTGGGTGTAGAGAATAAAGAACCTGGCTTTTGATCTCATGTGGAGAGTGCTTATTGCTCGTGTACCTGTCTTCTGGCTATCATTTTCAACATCTGAAATATTTATCTCTTAAGATCTTGGTGACTTCTCCTATTAGTTTGATACATGCTAAATACTTTACTGAGAACATCACAGGGAAACTACAGTAAGAAGATAAAAGATGTGTATTCATATGTTTGCAGAGAAAAGAACATTAATGAGGTGGCCAGTTATTGTTAAATTCACTGTGATATTGCCTAGTTACATTCAAACATACTGCCATTGACCATCCTTCTGAGCAGCGTATTTGCTGGGCCAGCAGATTAACTCTGCTATGTACTCTACAAAACATATCAGTTTAAATATATCTTAGCCGGTTTTTAAATTGCCACACATTTTTGAGATTTGTTGTCTTCAGAAAATATATCCACCACTTTTGGGACTTTTCACCACTTTTTTTCTTGTGTCAATATCAAGACCACACTTTTACCCCAATTTTGTAGACCTGCAAAATTCCAATTAGGGGTCATAGGTCAATTAGGTCTATTAGGTCTTCGCAAAACCTTAACTCTCATCAGCCTTGGTGCTCCTTTCTTTATTATGAACATGATTTATATTGTAACTGCTTTAGATCACCATGCAAGGGTCATCATTTAGAGCTACTGTAGGAATAAGTCTGCCACTCCTATATTCTTAAGTACAATCACTTGCTAGCCCAGAATGATGGTTGCTTGGGTTTTTTGAGCAAAACATTTAAAATACCAAATGATCGTTTACTTCCTGTCTTCCTTCTTTAGTCCTGTGCAGTTTTAGATTAGATTTAACCCTGCTGACGGTTTAGAGCCCATATATATACACAAGTTTAAATTGATTAAGAAAACATAAATCAGACCCCTGAAGAAGCATGAATTCTTAATTCTATACTTATATTTAGGCCTTGCTTTGATGCAATGAATATTTATAATATCACTTGATGCATATTTATGATTATGATGATTTGGTTTGATTTGAAAGAACTGAATTCAGCTGACAACAACCTGCATACCTGCCTGTAGATATGAATACATAGTTATAAAATATGAATGCCTCTTGGTAGTCATGAGAATACTGATAGACAGCAGAGCCTCATTATTGCAGATTAAGTTGCTTTCCACATTGTTATATGTGTTGCTTCTGGCCTTTGCTTTCTTATTGGGTTGTATTGGAAATTAGAGTGCAGGAACACATCTACAACTGCAGGTCTTCACAAGATCCTGTTTAAGAGATAAGGCATATTCATGGTTGTAATTTTCAGTCTCTGAAGTTTTCAGAAAAGCTCAAACTATTTAGAATTGAATGACGAGGCTGACAGAGAAATGTAACGAATTCCCTGTTAGAGAACAGAAAACTGTGAAAATGATCC